TTACCTGTCCCGAGGCATTGGCGGGGTTGGCCTCTCGTCCCCGTCGCCGCAGCTGGCCATTTCAGGCAGACGGTGACCTGACCTCGGACCTTTGGACACATGCAGAGTTGTGCTGCAATTTCCTGTCGGAATCTGTCCTTGTCTGAGGACGCGAGAGTTCACATTCGCTCGGCTCTTGACCGAAGGCGTCGCGAGGGGAGGCGTCGCGCTGCTGTCGGTGCCGCAGGACGTAGGACGTGAAGCACGAGGCGTCGGGTGGAGCGGCGGCGCCTTTGCGGGATGTGCGGGTGCCCGGGGCGGCTTGTCCTCCGAGGGGACAGGCCTCGTGTGCGACCTGGGGCTAACGGGACTGGCAGGAGGAGGAGGAACCTTTTCTAGCGCGAGGTGGGGTGCGGCGGAGAGGGGGAGGAGGCCGGGAGAGGGAGAGGGGGTGGGCCGTCGCTGGCGTAAGTGGGGCAGAGAAGCTCACGGCGCGTACGGACTTCCGCCCGCCCGCCCGGCCGCCCTTCTCGTCGCCGCGTCATGGGGGAGGTTTTGTGGCGCGGAGGAGGCGCAGCGGCGGGGAGGGTCCTCGGGTGAAAGTCGCGGCGGTACTTCCCTCTTCCGTCGGGCTCAAGGCACCTTCGGCGGCGGCGTAAACCTCCCTCTTACTCTACCTTGGTGGGCGAGGCGACCCCGCCGCCGCGACCTCTCTCTCTTCTCTCCTCTTCTCTCTCTCTCTCCTCTCTCTCTCTCTCTCTCTCTCTCTCTCTCTCTCTCTCTCTCTCTCTCTCTCTCGTCTCTCTCTCTCTCTCTCTCCTCTCTCTTCTCTCTCACCTCCTCACACACACACACACACACACACACACACACACACACACACACACACACACACACACACAACACACCACACACACACACACACACACAACACACGCACACACACACACGCACACGCACACGCACGCACACGCACACACATTTTTTTATGAGGACATACAGAAAACGACGTGCGTGCAAACATACACATGTATACATATTTATTTCCAAGAGAAAATATTGTAAGAGCATATAAGCCCACGTGCTTTCCATTATGAGAACACGCACCACCCCTCCCTCCCTTCCTCCCTCCCCTTCTCCATTCCCTTCTCCCATTCCCCTCCACCCCCCATCCCTCCATCCTTTCCTCCCCCTCTTTTCTCCCTCCTCTTCCTCTCTCCCTCCCTCTTCCTCTCCCTCTCTCCCTTCCCTTCCCTCCCTTCCCCCCCTCCCTCCCTCCCTCCCTCCCTCCCTCCCCTTCCTTCCCTTCCCTTCCCTTCCCTCCCCTCCCCCTTCCCCTCCCTCCCTCCCACCCCTTCCCTCCCCCCTTATCAGCAAGGCAAGGCGGCGCATAATGCATCGGCCAAGTCACGGGGATGTGTCAAGGTCTTCGTACACGTCTTGTCAATACGTCACGAAGGGAAAATAATGTCAAGCAACCAGCGCGTTTTTCTCTAAATCCCCTTCGTCATCCCCATTTTCCCTATTTTCCCCCCCTCACTACCCCATTTCTCATCACCCCCACTATTCCAATCTCCCCTACTGCTACCTCATTTCTCTCTCTCCCCACCTCATATTCTCCACCACTAACCCACTTCTCTCCCCATACCCCATTTCTCTCCCCCCATCCACTACCCCCACCCCCACCCCCTTTCGTCTACATCCTCCCCTACCCCATTTTGTCTCTCCCCCACCCTAGATCTCCCCATCCACTACCCCCAACCCCCACCCTCCTCGTGTACATCTTCCCCTACCCCATTTTGTCTCCCCCACCCGATCACCCCCCAACCACTACCCCCACCCCCACCCCCTTCATCTACATCCTCCCCTACCCATTTTGTCTCCCCCCACCACTACCCCCACCCCCCACCTCCTTCTGTACATCCTAAATGGGCCACGTGGTCGTACGGTCGGAGGCTCGGAGGCGCGGAATGCTGTGGGAATGCTTGGAATAACAGGACAATCCCAGGGGGAGTAGGGGGAGGAGGGGGTAGGGAAGGAGGGGGGGGTAGGGGGGAAGGAAGGGGGAGGAGTGGGATGAGGAAGGGAGGTAGGGGGGTAGGGAAGGAAGGGGAGGAGGGGTAGGGAAGAAGGGAGGAGTGGGGTAGGGAAGGAAAGGGGAGGAGGGGTACGGGAAGGAAGGAGAGGGGGGTAGGGAAGGAAGGGGAGGTTTGGTTGGTGGGGGGGGGGAAGAAAGGTAGGTTGGTAGGTGGGGATGGGTAGGATGGGTGGGGGAGGGAGAGAGGGAGAGGGAGGAGGGAGGAGAGAGAGATTTGTAAGCACTTCCTTTGGCGGGAGAGAAAATAGGGTGATAAGATTCTAGGCTTGGTAATTGGCGCAGGTCAGATCTTTGTGTCTGGTTTGTGGCTATGTATATGTGTGTGTGGGTGTCTCTCTCTCTCTCTCTCTCTCTCTCTCTCTCTCTCTCTCTCTCTCTCTCTCTCTCTCTCTCTCTCTCTCTTCTCTCTCTCTCTCTCTCTCTCTCTCTCTCTCTCTCTCTCTCTCTTCTCTCTCTCTCTCTCTCTCTCTCTCTCTCTCTCTCTCTCTCTCTCTCTCTCTGCACGACTGTTTTTTTTTTAACCTGTGGCAATTAACGTTATATTTAGTCTCACCTCTCACGGTAACCAGATCAAACATTTGCGGATGTGACCAAAACATCTCATTAAATCCGCAGCCCCGAAGCCACGTATTATGAGGAAGTTCGGGCTGTTTCTCGGCCTTCTTAGAGCGGCGACCTTCCGAGGAGAAGCTGACCTTTCCCGTCGGCGAACCTCGACCGCGGGTTCGCTTCTGTCCATCGAGTCGCCTCTTATCGTATTCTCGGTGTTGTCTAAATGGGAATGAAGGAGATAGAAGAGAGAGAGGAAGAGGAGAGAAGGGGGGGGAGGAAGGAGGGCAGCAAATAGAGAGGTTGAGTGACCTGATTTCTCTCTTAAGATGGAGCGGTTTTGTCCGTTTTCTCCAGCCGCGGGTCGCCTCTCCCTCTGCTCGAATCTCTCTCAAGGGGGAATGTCGGGTAAACATAAACACTTCGCAGGGAAAAGGTGTGTGTGTCTTTTTATAACTTGGGTTGTGCCTGAACTGTTTTTTTTACTTGTTTTATGGATTGATTTTATTGTTTTCTTGGGATTTTTGAATGGGGAGGGTTTTTTTTTACTTGTTTTTTAAGGATAAAGTGATTTTATTATGTCTTGGGATTTTTTTTTTTTGAACGGGGAGAGGGATGTGTTTTAGAATTTCGAATGCCTTTTAAAATTTTGATTTTTGTTAGTCTTCGTTTGTTTGGTTTTTTTCTTTTTTTTGGGGCATTCATTCTTCCAAGACAGTCAACTTGACCTTGCCCAAAAAAAAGTTTCCACGAAAGATACAAGTTGGCTATGTAGTGAAATCGACTCACTGTTCTGTTTTCTCTCTCTCTCTCTCTCTCTCTCCTCTCTCTCCTCTCTCTCTCTCTCTCTCTCTCTCTCTCTCTCTCTCTCTCTCTCTCTCTCTCTCTCCTCTCTCTCTTCCCTCCCCCCTCCTCCCTCCCTCCCTCCCTCCCTCCTCCCCTCCCTCCCTCCCTCCCTCCATCTCTCCCTCTCCCTCTCCCTCTCCCTCTCCCCTCTCCACTCCCTCCCTCTCCCCCCTCTCCCTCTCCCTCCTCCCCTCCTCTCCCCCTTCCCTCTACCCCCACGCAACTATAACCTCTACTTAATCGCCTTTCAATAAAGTCCACTGCCATACCATACCCTAGTACCCCCCCATACCCCCCCCAATACCCCACACCACCATGATCCGAGACCCCCCCCTCCCTCATATCCACTACCACCATTGATCCGAGACCCCCCCCTCCCCCTCCAATACCCCACACCACCATGATCCGAGACCATACCCACCACCGTCGCCGGCCGCTGTGCACCACGTGCGGCTGCACGAGCACGGCACGCGGGCTTACCTCGTCGCCGGGCTTAGTGTCTCGCGAGCCGGGGGAGGGGGAGGGTGTCCATGCCATGCAGAGAGGGGGAGGGAGAGAGGGAGAGGGAGAGAGAGGGAGAGGGAGAGAGGGTAAAGGGGGAGGAGTAAACTTAGAGGGAGAATAGAAGAGAGAGGGAGGGAGAGGGAGATGGAGAAAGGGAGAGAGAAGGAGAGAGACATAGAGAGAGAGTGGGGGGAGAGGCGAGGGAAAGAGAAAGGGGGAGAGAAGGAGAGAAACATAGCGAGAGACATAAAGAGAGAGAGAGGGGGGAGAGAGAAAGCGTTTGGTGACACTGTAGCTCTGCGTGTCTATTGAGAATGTGTTTGGTGTTTCTTTTGTCTGTCTGATCTATCGTCTCTCTCTCTCTCTCTCTCTCTCTCTCTCTCTCTCTCTCTCTCTCTCTCTCTCTCTCTCTCTCTCTCTCTCTCTCTCTCTCTCCTCTGTCATGTGTGTATTCTCCGTATATTGTGATGTGGTATGTGTGCATGTGTGTGTGTGCGTATGTATTATATGTATAGATGCATATATAGGACGATAGATAGATAGATATTTAAAATACCTCTCATTTAGTATTTGATATCGACCTTAAACCTCCATCGTTTTACTCGTAACTTACACGTATTTCTACCACCGGTATCGACACTCCTGGCCTGATAAAACGCCCTATTTCCTTGGGTTTCGCTTCGGGTTTTCAACCTCTCTCTCTCTCTGCTCTCTCTGTCTGCTTCTCTCTCTCTCTCTCTCCTTTCTCTCTCTCTCTCTCCTCTCTCTCTCTATCGTCTCTCTCTTCACTCTCTCTGCTCTCGTCTCTCGTCCGTCATCTCTCTCCTCGCTCGCCTCGCTTCGCTCGCTCGCGTCGCTCCGCTCCGCTCTCGTCGCTCCTCCCCTCCTTCCTCAGCTTCACCAACACTCCTTCCATTTACGGCCACGGAACACCTACCTACAGCTGCCGTGTTGATTTTTATACATCCTTATCTTCTGTGTATGCTTCTTTTCGGTCTTATTTGAAATTGGGGGGAGGAAGGGGGGGGGGACTTAACAGTAGCTTTAAAACCTTTCTCTCTGCCGTTCCTCGTTATCAGTGTGCCGTCTCTGTCTGTCTTGTCTGTCTGTCTGGTCTCTCTCTCCCTCTACTCGTCTCCTCTTCTCCTCTCTCTGCTCCTTCTCCTCTCTCCTTCTCTCGGTCCTCTCTCATCTCTCTCAGTCTCTCCTCTCTTCTCTCTCTCTCTCTCTCTCTCCCCATCACCCCTCTCCTCTTCTCTTCTCCTCTCTCTCCTCTTCTCCGTTCTATCTCTCCCCTCTCCTCTTCCTCTCTCTCTCTCCTCTCTCCTCTCCTTCTTCCCCTCTCTCTCATCATCTCTCTCTCTCTCTTCTCTCTCTCTCTCCCCCTTCTCTCTTCTCTCTCTCTCCTCTCTCTCTCTCTCTCTCTCTCCTCTCGTCTCTCTCTCTCTCTCTCTCTCTCTCTCTCTCTCTCTCTCTCTCCCTTCTTCTCTCCTTCTCCTCTCTCTGCTCTCTCTCTCTCTCTCCTCTCTCTTCCTCTCTCTCTCTCTCTCCTCTCTCCTCCTCTCCCTCAGGGGTGTCTCCAGCATCTAGATCTCGAGAGCAGCGCGAGAAGTTCCCCGAGGTATGCATGGGTGCGTGTTTTTTGGCGTCGGGTCTGCGTGGAACTGCTACCCCCTCTTACCATATTGATTTTCCCCCCTTCTTATGCCTTGCTACTTGCCCGTCGCTTCCGAGAAATTCGTAATATCGGTCGGGACGTCTTATCCGAGTCCTATTTCCCTCCCTCCCCCCTACCCCTTCCCTCACGCTTTCGAAATACGTTCAAGAAATAATAAAAAAAAATATATAATATATCCCCCCTTCTGCGGTTATCGTCTCGCGGTAATATTCTTAGACGAGTGAACGACTTTGGTACGAGAGGTGTTGTTTGTATTCCGCAAAGGGTCGCCGGATGTCTGCCTTGCCGTCTCCCGGATGAATTCCTGCGGCAGCTATTGAATTTTTACAGGATTTGCATGTGAATAACCCCGGCTTTGGTGACAAAAGAATGGGAGAGAGGAGGGAAGGAGGGAGGGAGATGCTGGAAGAGAAAGAGAGGGAGAGGGGGTAAGGGAGATCAAGGAAGATAGAGAATTATATATACATACATACATATATATATATATATATATATAATATATAATATATATGAGAGAGAGAGAGGAGAGAGAGAGAGGAGAGAGAAAGAAGAAAGAGAAAGAAGAAAGAGAAAGAGAAAGAAGAGAAGAGAGAGAGAGAAGAGGAGAGAGAGAGAGAGAGAGAGAGAGAGAGAGAGAGAGGAGAGAGAGAGAGAGAGACGAGAAGAGAAGAGAAGAGAGAGAGAGTGAGTAAGGTAAAGAAAGAAATGAGAGAGAGAGAGAGAGAGAGAGAGAGAGGAGAGAGAGAGAGAGAGAGAGAGAGAAGGAGAGAGAGAGAGAGAAGAGAGAGAGAGAGAGAGAGAGAGAGGGGTAAGGTAAAGAAATTTGAATAAGAGAGAGAGAGAGAGAGAGAGAGAGAGAGAGAGAGAAAGAGAGAGAGAGAGAAGAGAGAGAGGAGACGAGAGAGAGAGAGGAGATTTTAGGCCGAGGCTGAAGGGGTTGTAGCCTTGACTGTAACCTAGGCCTTCTTCACACTGGAAGCTACATTGTTCTGCGCCCTCGATCAAGCAAAGTGGCGCTACTCCTCGCTAAAATAGAACAAGGGCGAACTATCTCGTCAAAGTGTGTTGATTCGATATCGCCGTCGAGTGTTAGAATATTGGCCGAAACACCACAGTAGCTTTAGCGTACGTACGTGTCTCCGTGTGTGAGTGAGTGTGTGTGTACACGTTAGCAAGCTCGAGAGCGCGCGTGTGTGTTTGTGTGTATGTGTGTATCCTTGGTTCCCTGGCTGCTAGCTCGTTCCCATTCGTGGTAGGCCATGGCATAGAACAGAGTCTCGGCGAGGGCAACGTGGTTCTGTGTGTTTACTGTTTACTTTCTGCAGTCGCCTTTCGCTCGACGGGGTTTTGGTTTAACTGGGCAGAGGGAGGAGGTTCCAATGCCTCTCCGATGGTGGGGTGGAAGTTCGTTGGGTAAATAGAGTGTGGTAGTAAATAGGTTGTTGGTAATTTTATGCGATATCTTGAAGTGTATGGCAGCTACGCGCTCTATCGAAGGCTGGGGTCGCTCGGTCGCATTGCCATATTACTTGCCGTAATTATGTTCTCTAAGTTTGCGGAGGGTATTTACTGCCTTTTTTCGTTTCTGTATGGTGCGGGGTTGAGTAACGCATTCGATGAGGTTTCGGGAGATACTAAATTAGTTTAATCTCGCAGGTGGGAAAATTGTTGGCGTTGGCGGAAAATCGGCAACCGAGGTCGCTGCTCAGCCTCCAGCGAGTCATTTCGAGTCTAGGTTTGCAGTTCACACGTGACGGTGGAAGGAGTCGGACGTCTCTCGAACGCCCGCTCGCGCCACTAGGCTCTTCACACCAATTGGATATACACGAAGCTAAAAATTATCTACCAACTTCCGTGATACTTGGAGGCCTGTTTTGGAAAAAAGGTTGAAAAGTTGAACCTCGCCTCTCCATTGCAAAGAAGGAAATAAGTCCCTGGATATTTTTTTTCTCGACTCGTGTAGCGTTGTATTGAATTTCACTGTGACCTGCGTTGAAGGTTAGTGCTCTGGGTGAAATTAAGTCCAGTGGAAAACGGTGAAATGTGTTCTACTACCCCCGTTTTGAGAATTATGCTTTGATGTATGACCTTATGGAAACCTGCTTCAACATCTCCGTGGATCAAATGACATCTCGAGAGCCTTAAAATATATAAAAAGAAGGTAGAAAGAGGTGCACAACACAAGGCTGTCTAACCAAAAAGGTTCCCGTTGTAGATCTTTACAACACAAAAGCTATCGTGGGAATAAGAGGGACTTCCTTCAGATATGATTGAAGTGACGGCGAAAGGTCCCCCAGGAGCGTGCAAGTGAAGTGTAATCGCTCAAGTGAAGTGAGTGTGAGTGAGAGCTCAACAAAGGGAAAGAGTGAAGTGCATGCCCGCCACACGCGTTGCAGGAAAGAGCTTAAGGAGCCAAAGAAATAAGTTATTGTGGCCGCTTCAGCACCAGCAGCCACCGCGCCACTTGAGGGAGAGCAACGTGCGCCCAAGTGGTGTGCAGTTGAGTGCATGAGTGCGTCACCTATTGTAGAAGAAGTAGATATTAGTGGTTCAGGTGCCTATATATCTTCCAAGATCGTGGAGTCGAGCTTGAGAAAGTTATTGGGGCGCGCGTCAGGCCGTACCCCACCCGGGCGCGACCTGACCCCGATCAACACGGCAGACGCACGCAAGGTCAGTATGCCTCGCCAGGTCATCTAAGGTCAGGCACTAGTGGACAGGGCGTGAGACGATAGGGAACGTACGATATGTCAGTGAGAGAAGTGCGTGGCCTAAAGATCTAAAAAAGCCAAACTTTCTTCTGATTGATGTATGGCAGTGTTTGTTTCGTCTCATTTTCTGTTCATTCCTGTGCTGTGTTTATAGATAATGTAGGAATAGATTATGTGTAGCAATCGTGCACCAACATGATGATACGAAGTAAAAAAAACACCCCAAAAGTGTTAGTATCCAACAGAAGGAAATATCTTTGGAAATCTGCAATTCTCGGAAATAAACGTGTAACAAAATTATCTCTGGTGTGTTTGATAACGGCCATTCCAGCCAGAAACACGAACGTAGGCCCGAATTTCCCCCGAAATAAAACGTTTCTGCTTATCCCGCTGGCCGAAATGCGATTTGGATGGGCGCCACTTGCACGGCGCCCCTCTTTTGTGTGTGTGTTTAGTCTGAATGAATTTGATTAGCAAAGTGAGTTTGTAGAGCACGATGGCGTGTGGCAGCGAGGCCAGTAGGCTCCGGCCGGACTATCGGGCTGAAAAGGGTCACACATCCACCTCGTTAAGCGAACGGCCTCGCCAACGACGGTCATCTGTTCCGTGCCTGTTGTCTAGTTTGGTTGAGAGAGGGTGAGTACTGTTGTTGCAGTGCTGAACGTTGCCAAAGTTTTTTTTTTCTGCGGTGGGGGTGGGGGTTTAATGTGCGAGTCGGGTTTTTTTTCAAGTGTGTGGTGTTTATTTCTAGTGGTACATGGGTTGATCATGTGGTTTTGTTTTTGTTAACATTCGTTCCGAGACCGTTTTACCTTGGGCATTGCAATACCTTGTTTAAATGGGACGCACCGGTACACAGGGAGTCGACTTGCAAGATTTAAACGTTAGGTGTTAGGGAGTCTTCCAGCGATAGTTAAAAAACGTTTTCTGAAAACCACACGGCGGGATCCATTTTATTTCGTCGCTTGGTCTTGAAAGCACACGTGTTGTTGCTAATAAAGGCGACACGAGGTTTTCCTGCGAGCGAGTTGAGTGAGAATCTCTCTTTGAAACTCCTCGTGTGCGTGTGTGCGGCGCCACGTGTTCATGGAAGTGTCAGAACGTGACGATTCGCAGACCGCCGGGATTGGGCTGATGGTGACGCGATCCGAATGTGGGTGAAGTTTTTAATGTTCATTGTGCGATGTCCGTTAGAAGGTAGGTGGTGGAGAACGAGATATGTAATGGCGATGTCAGGTTAGGTTTTTGCTTGCCGTGTGATGTGTTTAGTGAAAAAATTATTTGTAATATTGTGAATCTTATTATATTTTTTCAGTTTGTATTGGAAGTATTAAGTGAAGTGCGTTATTATAACTTATGGACTGCGACACGAAATAAACAAGAATCCAAGTGTAAGATAAAATAAACTTATCAGATTCCTCAGCATGTGCTTTGCCAAATCATATTCATTATGGCCCATAATTTTTGTGCAATATCCATGCGGTGTTATTCTACGCTGTGGGTCCAGTGAGGACTATGCTAATGGGCACTCTATGAATCCCCTTTGTGCCCCGAACGAGTTTATCCGGGTATTGCACTGAATGATAAGTTAGCCTCCATTGTGCATTTATCCCGTCCCGCCCGCAATATGGAATACGAAATGCACCATTTGAGATCCACGGCTATCTTTTGTTTTGTCGGCCGCGCGATGGCTTTCCTTAAAACGTCCCGAAATAGGTGTTCCGCTGTTTGATTGGCGTGTTAGGAACTGGCTTGGTGCTTTTAGGGCCTTTTCTCGTATTGGCCGGTACTGTTCTACACGTTCTTGGTCTTCGTCGGCGTTGTACGTAATGGGACCGTAGTTTGATCTCTCTTGCGTTAAACCTTATCGCGTGTTTTTTTTATCAATGTTTTTTTTTATCAGTCAAGGGTCGTTGGGGTGTATTGTGAGAGGGAGTGCCGCTTATGCATAAGAATTCACCGTTTACTAAAGTGCTTGTTATGGTGTGGGAGTGTGTTCTTTTGGGGCAGGGGTCGTTGTCTTGGTGTTATGCTCTGTATTAAAGTGCTGATTTCCTGGGTTCGTTCAATCTCTCTGTCTCTCTGTCTCTCTCTCTCTCTTCTCTCTCTCTCTCTCTCTTCTCTCTCTCTCTCTCTCTCTCTCTCTCTCTCTCTCTCTCCTCTCTCTCTCTCTCTCTCTCTCTCTCTCTCTCTCTCTCTCTCTCCCTCTCTCCCTCTCCCTCTCTCCCTCTCTCCCTCTCCCTCTCCCTCTCCCTCTCCCTTCCCTCTCCCTCTCCCTCTCCCTCTCAGTACACAATATTTACGAGGATCTGTCCATGTTTCTTCCGTCGACACAGAGCCTATACGCTTATTCGCACCCGTTTTGTAGTGCGATTTGTGTTGTCTCTTTAGGGTAAGTAGGACGAGCTCCGTCTGCTAGAGAAGGTGGGACCGGTTGGTTTGCCTGGTCCGATTTAGAGTGGAAAGTCGAGGGGCTTGTCTCACATGTCTTGTAATGTCATTTATGGAAGCGTTGTCTGGGTTTTCTAATATTTTTTTCGGGCGCTTTCGAAGATCTCGCTGTTTGGATGTGATAAAGTTGTGGGCGTCTTTGGGTGGTGTGTCGGTGTTTTGAGAGAGTGAGGAGAGTGAGGTTTTGAGAGAGTTTTGATTGGGTTTGAGGGTCCCGTTGAGCTTTTTACTATTGGTTTTACGTTTCCTGTAGTTTTGAAGATCGGTTTTGCTAAGATTCGTGATTCAGGTTCACTTAGAAAACGGTAGATTTTTGCTTTGTTTCGTTAGTGTTCAGTTGGCCTACATTGTTTATGCATTCTCCTCGTGGTGGTTTCTCAATTATTAAATGGTCTCTCTCTCTCGTAATGGAGTTCTTTAACCTTTTATTTTTTGACTGTCGGCGGTACATGGCGTTGCTGGATGGAGGTCATGACCTGGGTGGTAGACAGGCTGGCATCATGCAGGCTGTCTGGGTGTGCCAAAAGCAGTGTGTGAGTGTGTGTGTGTGAGAGAGAGAGAGGGAGAGGAGGAAAAGAGAGAGAGAGAGAGAGAGAGAGAGAGAGAGAGAGTTAGTGAGTGGATGTGTAAATAAGCGATTAATTGTGTGCGTGTGTGTGAGTGTGACTGCGTGTTTGCGTATGTGTGTCTGTGGACCGCTGCCACCGTCCCCCTTTTTCCTGCCGGGTCATCTTGTAACCGCCTGACCTGCAAGTGTTGCATTTTTCTCGAGCGGTCGGGGTGCTCTGAGGGTATAAGGGAGAGGAGGGAAAGGGAGAAGGGGAGGGAGGGGAGAGAGGGAGAGGGAGAGGAGGGAGGAAGGGAGAAGGACGACGTCGATGAAACGCTCCCGAGACTCACGATGGTGGAAGAATGAAGGATATATATTTTTTTTCTCTCTTTCCACTTGTCGCTTATTTATTACCGCTATGTTAAGTACGTTTCCTAAGACGATGGCCGTGACGACTTTGACCACGTATATATATATTTTTTTGTTTTTATGCCGTTTAGATAAAGACAACAACGCTACTTGCATTCTCACGCGAAGTTCCGTAAAACAGTGGTCGACCCTCACTACGCCAGACAGACAGATAACAGAGGGAGAGAGAGAGAGAGAGAGAGAGAGAGAGAGAGAGAGAGAGAGAGAGAGAGAGAGAGAGAGAGAGAGAGAGAGAGAGAGAGAGAGAGAGAGAGACATGACAAAGAGAAATGAATGCGAGAGAGAGAGAGAGAGAGAACGAGAAACGAGGAGAGGAGAGGAGAGGGAGGAGGCGGGGTAAGGAGCGAGAGACAAAGTTAGTTATCTGTATAGTTTTACCGCAATATGAAGACAAGGCGAGTTCGTGCTCAGGAAATCAAGTGGACAAGGCGCACTCAACACGCAAGGCCATGTGTGAACCTATGTCTCGAGAGCCCTGTTTACTCTGAAGGTGGCACAGGGCACGTGGGTCGGAGGGGAGGGAAGGGGGGAGGGGGTGATTCTTTATTTTCTGTCCTTGTCTGTCTTCGTTTCACTTTTTTCTCTCTTCTCTGTTTTATCTCTCTTTTCTGTTTTGGTCTTGGTACCCCCTCTCTCTCGCTTGCTCTTTCCGTTTCTTTCTACTTTCTTATTTGTCTTCCTCCTTTCTTCTTTCCTCCCCTCCCTCCCTCCTTCCCTCCTTCCCTCCCTCCCTCCCTCTCCCTCCCTCCCATCCCATCCCCTCCAATCTTCCCTCCTCCCTCCCTCCTCTTTCCCTCCCTCTTTCCCTTGCAATGCCTGCCCTTCCCTTCTTATCATACTGAACGTTTCTCTGGGCTTCGTTTCCGTTTCCATGTGCACTCTCGCCCCCGCCTTTTTTGGTTCACTCTCTCTCTCTCCGCTCTCTTCCGCTGCTTTCTCTGTTGTCGTGTGTCTGGCCGGGGACTGTATCGCGGCGAAAGAGCTAGGTTGGGATTTTATTTTTGTTTGTGTTTCTCTTTCTCTCTCGATTTCTCTTCTCTTTTTCTTTTTCTTTATTTCTTTCTCTTTTCTCTTTTCTATTATATCTTCTTTCTCTCGTCTCCTCTCCTCTCCTCTCCTCTTATTTCTTTTCGATTTCTCTTTCTCTCTCTCTCTCTCTCTCTCATTCTCTATATCTATTTCTCGATTTCTCTCTCCCCTACCCTATATGCCTCTCTTTCAAATAAATATGTATGGTGAATATAAGAGATTTGTATGTATGTAAACGTATAGTCACGGTGTCCTTTTGTGTATATATATAGAAGCACCACCGTACCATCTCCTCCCCCCCCCCCCCCCCCCTCTTTTTCTTTTGAATTCTCTTCTCCCTGCCTTTTCTTCTCTATCCTTATTACGTCCCTCTTATCTGCTCTTTCATCAGCTTTCCCAAATTGCCATCTTCCTGTTTTTTATGTTATCGTGTTTGTTTTCATAGTGTTTTTTTTTCTTTCAAGAATTTTATATTTTTCTATATTGTTTTTTTGAAATTCAGA